CCGACCCACCCGCGGCACGGCGGCGCGCGCAGGCAGCCCATCGTGCGGCTGTGTCTGTTGGGCGGCCTACCCGCTCGGCACTCGGCGGGCTCGGCCCAGAGCGGCGGCTCGCCGGGGAGCTGCGTGTGCTCGATAACTCGATAACGACACCGACGGGAGAGGGGTGGGGTGGGGTGAGGGGCGGGGGATGGGCGCGACTGATAAAGCTGCCAGTATCGGCCTTTGGCTTTTGATGAAGTGCCTCCCCTCGCCTCTCACCCCCGCCGCCGCCACCCTGCCCTATTCGCCCTGGCTTTCACCTCTACCCCCCTCTTGTCATGTCGTCCCCTGACCCCGTCGCTCCGTGTCCCCGTGAGGTCTCTCCCCTTAGGAGGATGCCGCCGCGGCGTGGGCCCCCGTGCTAGCGCGGGCAGCTGGGCTTGTCCCGAGGAGACCACCTCGCGCGGGGCGGAGGGCGGGGGGCCGCCGATGATGATAACCCCGCGGACACAAGTGGGCACGCCGTCCAGGCCGTCCCCGGCGGCAGTGCCCAGCAGTGCCCAGCTGACCCCCACTCGTCGCAGATGGCCTACGACAGCTGCTGTGTGACGCGGCATCTGGCCGTCGTGCCAGTGCTGCTGCTCGCCGTGTTGCTGCTGCCGCAGTCCCTGCGCGCCGACAACGCGGGGGACGGCGAGACGGACACCAAGCCGACGTACGGATACGTCACTAAGTACCTCACCGTGCCCGTAAGTCCCCGACCGCCACCCTTTAGTGCTGCTATCCGTGATTGATGGCCTTCGTGACGCTTGACATCAGGGTCCTTTGTATTCTTGCAAATACTCTGTGAAGGAGCCAATAAGCCTGTGCGTACACTAGAAATGCGTGTCCATCGACAAGTTCTCTGGTTTGCAGTCGCGTCTGGAGGTGTACGCGAGACAAGTGTGTGTGTGCGTGCGTGCGTGCGCGCGTGTGTGTGTGTGTATGTGTTTTGGGAGGGGGGAGGGGTGACGTTGAGGTAGGGCAAAACTCTTTACTGACAACAGTTTTGTCTGCTAGCTTGCTTAACCCCATAAACAATTAGGGGACTCGCAAGAGCTGCGACTGTACACACTCTTCTCTCTGTTACCAGGTCGACCAGTTCAGTTTCACGTGGAATGACACGTTTCAGCTGCGCTATTTGGTGAACGACACGTGGTGGGACAAACAGAAACCAGGACCCATCTTTTTCTATACCGGAAATGAGGGGGACATCACTCTTTTCGCACAGAACACGGTGAGTGTCGGGGAATGGCGAGGCGGAGCTGGCCAAAGCGGCTATCGGCGACGCTTCTCTCCCCTCGTAAATAAATACTCACGATAAATGGAGCGATAAAACGGTTTATTTTCTGTTGTTCGTCGGATGCAGGGCTTCATGTGGGACATTGCCGCGGAGTTCCGTGCTCTGGTGGTCTTTGCCGAACACCGCTACTATGGAAAATCATTGCCATTTGGAGCCAAGTCTTTCGAGGTATACGCTATGGCTTGGATGTAATAAATTTGATTCCCAACAATTATGACCATCCGGTAAAAACGTCCTGTTCTCACGTCCAAAGGAGCCCAAGTACCTCGGTTACCTGACGGCCCAGCAGGCGCTGGCCGACTTCGTGGCGGTCATCGGCGAGCTGCGGAAGGGGCAGTCCTTCCCCCGCCAGAGCCCTGTGATCGCGTTCGGCGGCAGCTACGGCGGCATGCTCTCGGCCTGGATCCGAATGAAGTACCCGCACATCGTGTCGGGGTGAGTGTGAGTGGCGTCCGGGACCATCCGGAGCTCTCCCGGGGCCTCTAGGGTCACCGCATCATCACCTCTTCTGTCGATAGCGCCATCTCGGCCTCGGCGCCAGTGCTCATGTCCGCGGGGCTGACGCCGTGCGACGCCTTCTCCAGAATCGTGACGTCCGTGTACCACGCCGCGGCGCCCGACTGCGCTGAGAACATCAAGCGCTCGTGGAAGGCACTGAGGAACATTTCCAACACAGGTAAATGCTCGCTAATCAACGGAGGAGTGCTGAATATGGGCGAGTTTGGTCTGATAGCGGGCTCTTCCAGACGACGGCAAGGCGTGGCTGTCCAAGACGTTCTCGCTAAAGAAGGCCATCCACACCCCGGCCGACGTGAACACCCTCCTCGAGTGGCTCAATAACGCGTACACCGACGTGGCCATGGCCAACTACCCGTACCCGGCGGACTTCCTCGGCGACATGCCGGCCTACCCCGTTCACGTGAGCACACCCCCCCTGCCCCTCCCCCTTTTCCCCTTGACCGCACACCCGAGCAGCTCCCCGGGTGACCCAGTGACGCTCTTAATGGTCGGTGACGCTTCTCACAGGAGGTGTGCAAGCCGCTGCGGAAGAGGGTGAAAGATGACAAAGAGCTCGCCAAGGCCATCTTCCAGGGCGTCAGCGTGTACTTCAACTACACTGGCCGCGCCAAGGTTCTGGACGTAAACAACAGCGACAGCCTGCTCGACGTGTCGGGCTGGGATTATCAGGTAGGGTGATAGCCGCCGTTTAAACTGAAACAAGGCTCTTCAGGAGACGCCGAGGGGGTATCCACTCAGGTAATAGTCGGGTCGCCCGTCCGGTAATAGTTTGGTAATAGAGGTAATAGTCAGGTAATAGACGTAATAGGAAGGTAATAGAGGTAATCGCTGAGCGAAGCTCAGTCCAAGTCAATGAGGGGTCAG